TTGTAAATCGAAGCAACTCAGTTCCTCCAGACATGATGTAGACAAACATTTTTCAATGGGGAGGGGGCAGAGAATGGGAGGATGCTCTAGAAATTGTACCAAATGTATGGCCAATAAATGAGTCATGGGTTAAGAGCCATTGGCAACAGAACCCTACACTTCTGAGGTTGGCAAAAATACCTGGGACCAGTGCTGGATCATTTGCTTCTTCCACATTAGTGAGGGCGCTGTTAGTGCAAGTGAGACAAATCTAAATCAAAACTAGTTTCAGCAACATGAGGAACTTTGTGGGCTCCCATAGTTGGAACAGGTATTCACAGGAGCTAAGGAGTACTTCCAGGAGGAGCATGTGCTGAAGAGTGGCTTGGAGAGGGTTAGCCGTGAAAATCTCCATCAGTCCACCAAAAGCTCACCAGATAAAATATGACCTAAATAAAAACAGTATGCCACTGGAGAGTGCACCGCTTGGGAGTGTGGCGGTGCTCCCGCCGAGGGTTCGGATCCCATGTGGAGACCGGTTCCCGCTCACTGGCTGAGCGTGGTGCGGGCGCAACACCGAGGGTTGCGATCCCGTTACCGGTCAGTAAAAAAAGACAAAAAGGGAAAAAAAAAAACAGTATGCCAGCTCCACAAACACAGCCTCAACCCCAACACTCATAAACACTCGCCTTCCCACAAAATTGCTAGCCCTAAACCCAAGCTGTGTAGGAATCAGAGACCAGAACTGAGACTTCGCCTAGAGCAACAATCTCAGGCAAGATTCTGACTGGTCCAGCTTGGGTCACATATCAGTCACTGCTTTGTTGAGAGTGATTGTTAAGTTATCTGTCTCGCCTTGACTTTAAGCCCAAGGGGATAAACTGATAGACTCAACCTGGGTCTTCTATGCACCCACGGTTGATGGAAGGAAGAAGTCCTGGGCCCGAGATTGACATAACTTAGAAACCTAGCCATTCCCCTGCACATCTGTCACCTGGGGGAGCTCATTTAAGAATGCTGATGCCCAGGCTGCACCCCCAAAGATTCAGGTTCAGCTGCTTTAGAGTGAGGTCTGGGCATCTTTATTATTTCTGACCTTCCCACAGTGGTCTCCCAAAGGAATAAATCCCTCTGCCTCTTGGGTGGGGTTCCCGGGAGCTTCATGGGCTTTCCCAAGCTCTTGCTCTGTTTCTCCAGCTCCACCTTTTCTCTACAGGCGTACTCCAGCTGTGACAGATGGCCACGCAAGCCACACCTTTGTACATGTTGTACTCGGTGCTCCTTCCACCTGGGATCCTTTCCCTGCTCCCCCCTCCCTTGCCCACTGTCTTCTTTCCCATGGCACACTCCTGCACTGGGAAGACTTCCCTCCCTTCGATGCACCCCAGACTGGGCTGGAGGCCCCTGGCACCCCTGACAGAGTCTGGATTTTGCTTTACTGAAAGTGGTTGTTATGTAATATGTCTTGCCTTGACTTTAAGCCCGGTGCAGACTTGCTCTTCATCACTGGAACCAATGGCACACACAGCATGTCAGTTATTGGGTGAGCACTTAAGCTCGCTCAGCCTCAGTTTCCTCATCTGCACAGTGAGGATGATAATCGATCCTACCTTAGCTGAAACTGTCTAGAAATGCAAAGTACTTAGCCAGCACCTGACACCAGGTAAGAGCACATCAAAATATTAGCTATTGTTACTATCATTATTACTAAGAGCAAATCCTTCAGGACACCTCGAAAGACACACACTCCACCTTTTCGGTAAAGATGTTTCCCTCTTCACCTCTCCTTTACCACTCATCTTTCTCTTTTATCTGTTTCTACCAGCAATTCAGAGATATGGGCTGTCTCATTTATTCCTTTATCCTCAAGGAACCAGCCTGCAGTAGGTCTTGAATATATTTATTAACTGATGACTCAGGCTCTAGATTTAGGAATACTCTGTTCATGCCCAGAAGCAGTCAGAGTTGGAGTCCCTGCCCATCACTGGTCTGGAGGGGCTTCAGACTTAGGCAGAAGCCCCCCCCATCCCCCACCACACAGCCCCCTGCAGAGGTGGAGGGGGGAGACTCAGTGGGACCTCCCCAGTCAGGGCTGGGGAAAGGGAGCAGGTCTCTACCACAGGCGGGGCTACAACCTAGGGGAGGAAGCGTAAGTGGTCAGACACTACAGGGCCATTTGTTTGAAGTTATCTACATTCTTTTTTTTTTTTTGTCTTTTGTCTGTTTTTTCCGTGTCCGGCAACGGATCGCAACCCTCAGTGTTGCCCCCGTACCGGACCAGGGACCGGCAACGGGATTGCAAACCTCGGTGTTGCTCCCACGCCTCGCTCAGCCAGTGAGCGGGAGCCGGTCTGTATGTGGGATCCGAACCCTCGGGCGGCAGCGCTGCCGCGCCTCCTAAGCGGCGCACTATCCAGTGCGCCACTGGGCCGGCCCCATCTTTTCCTAAATTTATCCCTAAGTATGCCATCTACTAATATAGTTTTACTTTTTGCTTTTTGGTTTGATGAAATTTCTTCCTTTTTCTTGCCTAGTGTCTTGACGAGATCCTCCACTACAATGCTGATTAGAAATGGTGAGAGATACATCCTGGTCTTTCTGAGGTAAGTGAGTTTCTATGGTGAATGGAGTGCTGAGTTCCAAAACCCAACATTTTAAGAATTTCTTACTCCTGCAGAGAGTGAGGGAGTTGTCAATAAGTTGTTTGGTTTGGCCAGTATAGACCGATTCCTCAAGGTCAGCACAACCCCATCCTGTTCTATTGGGGGCTGGATTTCTCTTGATAGTCTAAACTGTGTAATGGCCAAATCCCCACTTGGAGGATGTGCAAATTCAGCCTCACACATTTCTCCTTGTGGGAAAGAAGCCCTTTGCATCCCTCTCCCAAATTATTTGCTCGTGCCATGAGATGTGGGTCTCCTTTCAAAATGGCAGCCAATCCCCTAACAGGGGCACTGGGGAAATCCCATGGCTACCTGGTGCCCCTTCCAAGTTGTATTCAGTTGCAGTCTTGAGGTGACAATATCACTAGCCTGTTGCTTACAGATGAAGAAACTGAGGTGTAGAGGTTAAAAGTCCTGCTGCCAATGGTCCACTCTTGGGCAAGGGCAGTGCTCGAGGGGCCTGCTTTTGGGTGTTCTGAAGGCTGCACGGCCTCTCTGCTGGATCCTGAGCCGCCCTGTCTGACCCAGAGATACTGCAGCAGCGATGGTGGTTAATTACTGTCTGGGCTGCTGTGAATGCTAATGGATCCCTTCTCTCTCCTTAGGGAGAGGCTTTAGGACTGACTAGCTCTTGAAAGGCGGAATCCAGCAAATGGTGTTAATTGGTGGGCCTCAGAGGTGGAAAGGCCACACTCAATGCCTCTGGGTAGTCCGGCTCAGTGCCTTCCTCAGTGTGCCAGAATTGCTACTGGAAAGGGCTGCTGTCCTGTAACAGCAGAATAAATAGTTCGGTCTGCCCAAGGGCTGGCCAAGCTTGAAAGGAGTAGCATTTGAGACCTGGATTTTGAGATGGTGGGCTTTCACTGGACACTCCTGTAGCATTTTGCAAACCAGCACCTCACATGAACCCTGGTTTGGAGGAACCATAACTAGACAGAGCCTGTTGGTCTGAGACCTGAATATTTGAGAGAGAAAGAGTGGCACCCCAGCTATAAAGAACAGTCGCTGCCATGGCATTTTGACCTAAGGAAACAGCAGCTTCCTGAGGCATTAGTGCCCTTTCTTACCTGTTCTGTGGAAGCGATTCAGAAGTCTTGCTGGGGGGAGGGGGAGCCATCTCCAGGGACATCGGGCCTTCTTGCCTTTCCTCAAAGCTGCCCCTGCCTCCACTCTCCTCCTGGCAGGCAGAGTCCTCCCTGTGACTTCACAGCCCTGCAGCCTGTGTGGCCTGCAGCAAGTGAGGACTGTGATAGTGCTTAAGAGAAACATCTAAATTGGATCAAAAGCCAGAATTTTTTTTCCCAAAGAACCAGATGGGCAGGCTTGGGAATGAGGTGAGGGGGAAGGCGGGAGGGATTGGTTTGACTAAAAACACTTGCTCCGGCCTATTTGTGTTTCATCCCAAAGATGTTTCTCAGGGGAAATTGCCAGTCCCTTAAATATCACAATGGCAGAAGAGCTGCAGGGCTGGGGAACCTTGGGGAGGAGACATTTTTCTCCTGGAAAAATAAGCGACCAAGTTAAGAAGGTCACCACCCTGAAGCCCGCCCAAGAGCAGCCTTGCAGGCCTCGAGGGCAGGCCCCCCGCGCCTTGGGGACCACCGTATCCACATGTTCTCCGGGGTGGCAGCGTCAGACCGGATGGCCCCCAACTTAGGGGCGCAGCCGGGCAAGTCCTCTGGAAGCTGGAGACGGTTAGAGCCCAGTCGGGTTGGGTGGCCCGGGGCCACGACGGGCGGGATCCGATTCGTGCGTTAGTGGCTGAGATCCAGGGAGCCATCCCGCCCAGACCCGGACAACTCGGAAGCGAGTTTTGCAGCCTCCTGCTCTGGGGACACATCTGAGTGAGAGAAATGAGCCAGGGGGTATCGGTGGCGGCTTCAGGACGGCAGTCTGGTTGGAAAGGAGGGCTGGGACTTGTCTCCAAGCAGTTTCTACTTGGATTGGTTGTTTATGGGGCGGATAAAGGGGGCACATTGCCTCCCTTGCGCCCTGCGGGGCTTCCCTGCGTGGGTAGCCGCGGGCGGGGATGGCGCGAGGGTCGGGGTCCCCGGCGGTGCCCACACTCTCCCGGGCCCCGGGTTCCCGAGGTCCCCTCCCGGCCGCCTCCTCCCGCCCGGCGAGCCGCCCTGAAACCCGAGCGCGAGAGGGCGGGGCGCGCGGCGATGGGGGCGCGGGGCCGCGTCGACATTGGAGGGGAAGCGAGTGATGGATGGCGGGGTGGGGGGGCGCGCCGGGCGCCCGCGGCCGAGGTGGACCGAGCCTCCCGGCTCGCTGCTCCCGCCGGCGGAGCGAGGCTGCCCTTTCTCCGCAGCGTGATTTATTTTCTCCTTCTTCTCTTCTAAACTCTTCTTCCAGGGAGAGGCTAGTGGTAACAGGCCGAGCTGGATGGATGGGTATGGGGAGAGGGGCAGGACGTTCAGCCCTGGGATTCTGGCCGACCCTCGCCTTCCTGCTCTGCAGCTTCCCCGCAGGTAAGACACTGCGCCGTGGCCGGGGCACAGCCGGGCGCGCTCCCCGGGTCTCCATCGAGTCGGGGCTCCAGCTCGTCGGGCCCCCGCGTCCCATCTCCACGGGTCTTTGTTTCTCCCCCGCCCCGCCGAGGGCTCGATGGATGCCCGTGGGGACCCGCGAGTTGGGGGGATCCCGCCCGAGCTGCGGTGCGAAGGAACCGGGCGGGGAGGTCGCAGGGGCCGGGGGCGCCCCTCTCCCGCTTCCTTCCGAGAAAGGGGGTGCCGGGGACGCACCTTTTGGGGTCGCGGGGGGAGAAGGGGAGGTATGGCCTCGGTGCCGGGGCACTTTCTCCAGCTCTTCGCCCACCACTTGCAAGCTTGCCCGCTGCCCACGGGTGGAGCCGGGGACCCCGTCCCGCCCCCACGGGCTTGCCCACGCGGGGAAACCCACGGACCCAGCGCACGGGAGCTCGTCGTCCTGTTGGATAACATTCCGCGTCGCCCCCGGTTTGTTTTTATTGTGTCAGAAAGGGAGAGAATTTCAGAATTAAAGCTGAAAAAGCCCATCTGTTTCCAATGAATCCCCCATAGTTTTTCACAATGTTTTTGGCAGATCGCTGCTTTCAAATTCCTCCGAGCCCGGACCTCTTGTTTTTGTTGGGGGAAGGGAGACCAACTCCACAGAGAAGCGTTTGTTCCTTCCCAAACGCTCCAGTTTCTTTACTTTTTTTTTTTTTTTTTTTTCCTTTCATGGGGAGGGGGGAGGCACGAAACTTAAATCCCCGGTCTGTTTTCTTTATAATGTTTCGTAAAACTTTATTTCATTTTTGCCATATGCTGGTCACAGCCTGGAAACGCCAGTTAAACCCTTTATACCCATTTTTCTCTTGCTAAAAATATAAATAAGCACACTGTCACGGGCCAAATGGTCCCCGGTGCGAGGCGGGATCTCGACGGTTCCATTGTGTTGCCGGGTTCAGACGTGCCTTTGCAAACATTCGATCTCGTTTCGCACCGGAGCCAGGTGCGGATCCGCAGCCTCCGCACACAACCGAGCTTTGCAAGAAAGGACTTGAGTTAGACTCGGATTGAGTCGTTTTATTTTGCTCTTCAGCCAACTTGGTTTCAAGGAACTGGCAGAACTGAGCAGTCCTGGCTCGGCTGGGCTTCGAGTTGGGTCTCCCGGTGGGTGGACCCCGCAGGCAGCGAGCGGCACGGGGCGAGGGATCAGTTTACCCTCTCGTCCCAGCCCGGCTCCGGGGGGGCCCCCAGCGCCCTCCTGGCCGAGTGCGTCCGGCTCACTCAGCAGCTGTGCTCCCAGGAGAGTCCCGGAGAGCCACAACCTGCTCCTGAGCCTTGAATTCCATCAGGGAAGGCCCAGCCAAGGACAAGATTGGGGGAAGGGGTGTCAGTGTCCCTTATGATCCCTCAGTCCCCGTGCGCCCTCAACCTGGAATATCAAAACATCTGCAGTGGATAAAGCGTCAAGGTGTCCTTTCCCCCACCCCCATTCCTTTTAAAAGGTAGTCTCTCCACCTACTGAAGAGTCTAGCTGAAAGACTGGTTTGGTTGCCTCCCAAGAATTAAAAATATAAAATAAAAATTACTCTCTTTTTTAAAAAGAAGTCCCCCTTTCGGAGAAGCAGCAGTTTGCAATTTGTGTCCATGTCCCTTTGGTCTAGATAAAGATCCAGCCCACTGGAAGTTTTATCAGATGGGTTGATAAATGGCTTTTGTCCCTTGACTGCCATGGGGGATGTGATCTCAGCTCAAAGCTGAAATTGAGAAGGGGGGCTTAGAGGCCCTTAAAACAACACCTTCCCTCTCTTAAAGCTGCAGCACTTGTTAACTTCTTGGGCTAGAATGAGAGGAAGGGGCAGCAGTTCTCAGAGGTGGGAGGAAGCTGCATGACTTCATGACTTGGGGGGGTGGGGGGGGTCCTGTTGTTTCTCAATTCATTCCTCTGTCTTAAAAACTCTTCTTTATTTTAAAGTGTCCCGGCACAGTCTGAGGAATGCTGGTGGGTTATATAATTCACAAGCCAAATTCCATCACTTTTGTTTCCAAGAAACCCATTTCTTTTTGGCTTCAAGGCTGGTAACTAAAACCTGGCAGATAGAACAGATAGCTGCTGACTGTCATGCCAACTTGCTAATGTTTCTTTTCATTTGAGGCCTTGACAGATGCGTTTAGTCAAAATTGCCCACCTTACTGAAAACTGAGGTTCCAGTATCCCAGAACTAAATAAACTGAGGGCTCTGAAACTTGTGTGCTCAACAAACCTGGGTTGAAAGACCCAGAAATGAAATGGGTCATTTCCACAACAAAACAAACTGTCACATTCTTTGACACGTTGGCTCAGGAGAGGGGCCACTTTGGAATAAAGTTAGAAAATCTGCGAGTCTAGGGCCGGCCCGGTGGCACACTGCTACAGTGCGCCGCTTGGGAGCGCGGTGGCGCTCCCGCCGAGGGTTCGGATCCCACATACAGACCGGTTCCTGCTCACTGGCTGAGCGAGGTGCGGGCGCGGCACCGAGGGTTGCGATCCCGTTACCGGTCCCAGTCCGGTACGGGCGCGACACTGAGGGTTGCGATCCGTTGCCGGACACGAAAAAAGACAAAAAGAAAAAAAAAAAAAAAAAGAAAATCTGCGAGTCTAGTGGCAAGCAGGGTGTAAGTTAGAGAAGAAAAGAAAGCCCTGGAAAAGTGTGAGGCACAGAGACACACAGGGCCAGTGTGCCATGGCCCCTCTCACTGAGACAGGTGGGAACTAGTCAGGGGCAGCCGCGTGAAAGCGTAGGTTTGTTCAGTGCCAGTCAGCTTGAATGGCTGCCAGGAGACCGATAGGAGTGCAAATCAAATTGGACATAGATATGTGGAGAAGGATGCCTTCACCTCTGCTAGACTGAGAGTGTTTGTTTTGAGTGTTTACATTTACTTCCTCAATGTGGATGGCCAACCTACTGTGTTCCTGACTCAGTGACAGCTTTTGGGGCCCTCTGACCAAGGCCCTCAGGCAGACCACAGCCTGGTGAAGAGAAATGGACTGGAAAGGTATCTGCTTGGATGATGCTGTAGGGACAGAGAAAGGGCAGACACAGTGGCCATGTCTACCTAGGAAGGGGAGGCCAGAAAAGGCTTCTTAGAAGAGCCTTCCACAAATAGCATCTTCAAATCAAAGTTATTAGATACTTTTTAAACTTTGAAGCCATCACGACTTATTCAGATTTCTATGGAAAATCCATCTAAAGCATATATTTTGGACATGTTGGTGTGCATCCTGTTTAGTACATATGGATGCTATCACCTTCTAGCACCATGGTTCTCAGAGTGTGCTCCCTGGACCAGCAACAGCAGCTGGTTAGAAATCCAAGTTCTGGGGCCGGCCCGGTGGCACACTGCTATAGTGCGCCGCTTGGGAAGCGCGGTGGCGCTCCCTCCGAGGGTTCGGATCCCACATACAGACCGGTGCCCGCTCACTGGCTGAGCGAGGCGCGGGAGCAGCGCCGAGGGTCGCGATCCCGTTGCCGGTCCTGGTCCGGTACAGGGGCGACACTGAGGGTTGCGATCCGTTGCCGGACACGGAAAAAGACAAAAAGGAAAAAAAAAAAAAAAGAAAGAAATCCAAGTTCTGGGCCTACCCCAGACCTACTGAAGCAGACACTCTGGGGCAAGGTCCTGCAGTCTGTATCCTAACAGGCCCTCCAGGGGACTCTCAATCACATCTGTCACTGTAGAGATGAGAACATTTCTGTCAAAGCTGCTATTCCAAAGTGTGCGAACAAGTCAGCCTGCTTACCACATTACTGCTTTCCCAGTAGGACTTTGTGTCCCAAAGGGAGAGTGTCTTGGTCCATTTGGGCTGCCATGACAAACCACCATAGATTAGGTAGTTTATAAACAACAGAAGTGTATTGCTCACAATTCTGGAGGCTGGAAAGTCCAAGATCAAGGTGCCAGCAGATTTGGGGTCTGGTGAGACCTGGTTCATAGATCCTGCCTTCTGTTCTGTCTTCACAGGGCAGAAGGGGTGAGGTGTCTTTCTGGAGTCCGATTTATAAGGGCACTAATCCCATTCATTCAGGCTCCATTCTCATGACCTAATCGCTTCCCAAAGCCCCCACCCCATACCGTAACACTGGGGATTAGGTGTCAATATATAAATTTGAGGGGGGAACACAAGCAATTCTGTCTGTAGCAGAGAGAATGAAATGATGTCCCATTGCAAGAGCCAGCTGGCAGCGGATGTATGGAGGGGTCGGCAGGCCTTGGCTCCCACGGAGAGTGCAGATATAAAATCCTGTAGGTGGTTGGCCTCTTAGGCACTGAGGGTGAATTGGTGAATAAGGGAAAGGATCTCTGGTCTTCTGGTTTGAACAAGGGACACCTCTCCACAAGATAGGAGAAACTGCTGGTAGTCAGCCCGGTGCTCAAAGGAGGGGATCTGGGGTGAGGTGACCCGTGGGCACAGATAAGGCCACTCTATGAGATGGGGAAGTGGGTGCCATGGTTCCCTGTGGAGGTAAGAGGTGGGGGATGGGGGCCAGTTTACATGTTGTGGGGAGTGTGGTTCCTGCCAAAGAGCCCTGTCTTTGGTGAAATGTGCAAAGCCTAGAGCTGGGCAGAGAACCCCAACTTTAGGTTTTGGTGGAGTAGCAGTGAGATGCCATGCTGTGATGCTGCTTGGCTAAAATGCAGTCTGCCTAAAATCGAGGGCACTGTTTCTAGAGTGACTAACTCATATCAGTTTGCCCAGGATTTTCCTAATTTTAAAACTGAAAGCTGCATGTCCTGAGATGTCCCCTCAGTCCCAGGCACACCAGGAGAGTTGGTCACCCTCGTTTCATCCCCTCCTGTCCCCTAGACTCGTGGCTCTCCCATGTCTGTTAGGGACTCCACTGCCTAGAAGCAGGTAGTCCTAGGTATAGAGTGGTCCCCTCTACGCAGTCCAGTCACCTGGGACTTTCCTACCTGTTTACATTGTCACCTTGCTACAGTTGCAGCAGCTGGCAGCCCTAGGA